ATTCACAAACGAAACAGCGTGCACGGGCAACAAAACAATCTTCTTATAACTGAGCATAGCATTTTTTCTCACACTTGTAAGCAAAATTCAAAATCTTAATTCCAAAGTTTAAAATGAAATTCAAACTAATCCGTGAATAAAGGAAATGGTAATTTATTGGACTTACAAAAAGTTCAAAATCTTAATTCTAAATCTAAAATCTAAAATTCAAAATAAATTCAAATAAAAGCCATGGATAATTGTAAATAAAGAGTAAAATTCAAAGGAAAAGGTATAAAATTGTAAATCTAGAATCCGGAAAAAGAAATAACTCATCTAATTAAATCAATTAGAAATAAGTGATGATTGTTTAGAAGTGATAGTTTTCTAAGATTTTTAAATTTTTAATTTAAATAATACATGGAAAGTGAAGATGCACTTTATAAGATACACGTGGACCTTTTTTCATTGGCTAACAGGAAACCTGAATCACATGACTTACACGAGTTTTAGTGTTTTTCATTTTAAACTTCAAAAACATATATAGCAAGTTACAATAACTACAGAGATACGGTATTTCTGTTCATATAATATATTAAATTAGAATAATTTCGTCCGCAGATTTATTATTTATTTATAATCCTATTTAAATTTTAATTAGTAAAAATACTCGAATTGAATATATCCAGCCTTTCTATATTCAATTTGAATTATTTATTTTTTAATAATCTTATTTACATTAAGAAAATATTTTCATTTTATTTCATATATACTTTCTTTGTAATAAATCAATATCTTCAAATCATTGAATTTTGATCACATTAACCTTTGAAATATCTTTTAATATTTAATTATTGTTAAATTAACAAAAGTCTAGAAACGAAGATCATAAATTAAATTCATTTGAAATTTTAATATGTAAATTATAAATTTTAAAATTATGAAGATTGTAATTAAGGATAATTTATTAGAATTAAAATATATTTTTTACTTTCGCACCTATATAAATGTTAGAAACCTTAATGTTAAAAGTATGTAAATAAAAAATTTATATACATGTTCAGAAATTTAATTACTATTCTAACTTATGTTTTAATAATCAGTAAAAAAATAGAAATTTTAGATTTTCAATTAAGTTGGTTAAAATACGAGTATTGTAAAACATTCACTTGGGCAACAATAAGTGTTAGAGATTAACTTCCCTTGCCTACAAAATAGAGCCATAAAATTAATGAATTGAAAATGCATATTAGATCTTCTAATTTTATACAAAATTTCAATTGATTCCTTAGTTTTATAAAGTATTTTTTATAATCTTCTGACCCAAGCACCATTAGTTTCAAATGATAACTTTTTATACCATTTATTGTTATTTTAAAAAAAGAAACTTAATATTTAAAAATATTTTGTCAATATTTAAAAATTTTAATCTCACCATCTCTTGTTAATGAAAATAATAATGTTAGAGGTTAGGACATTGAAAAGATTCCTTACAAAATTAAAGGACAAAAATAATTTTTTTATAGAAATAAGGGGTCAAATATACCTTTTTACATATTAATTAATATCTAAGGTAAAATGAGAAATAGTGTGCATTCCCCAAATATTAAATCAATTTATGAGCCATGTAATGAAATACCCAGAACGCATGTTTTCAATTTTTCCCAGAAAATTGTAAAACATAAGAATTAGTGTTTTCTATGGGGTAACATGTTGATAAAACTCGAATGTTATTTTGGCCAAAAAAAGTTTATTTTATTTTTAAAAGAATTTTACCATATGCATCTTAATTTTAGTACAGTTTAAAGTTGTTTTGGTGTGGCAAGGGAATAAAGGGGGGAAAATAGAAGTCATAGGGAATAAGAAAAAGAGTGCCCATTTCAGACTCAGAGTGCTCCAAAAACAAAAGACTTAAAAAATTAATTAAATATTTGTAAGCATCCTATCTGGTAGGTTTCTTTCCTTCTTCCCTCCCCTATCTCCTTCTCCTGGTCACTCTTCTTCCTTCTCTCTCTAAATGACTGACTTTGAAAAGTACTAAAGCCTCGGTCAACTGATATAGCAAATTTCTAGGTAATAGATGCTTTTTTATGGTCTCTTTTTTACACATGTAATCAATCCACAGCCGCAAGCTTGCAAATAATATTGGTGCATAAATTTCTTGTAGTCAGTGCACTTGCATAAATTTCTAGGTTTCTAAGATTTTTAAGTTTTAAATTTAAATAATACTACTTCTTCCCATCTTTAAATAATAGTTTGTTTGACTTTCAATTTAATTTTAAATATAAGATCACAATCTATTTTATTTTTTTATTTATCCAATGTTCTTTTAAATAGTCTTTGTAATAATTGTATATATTAAATATTTCATCAAATGATAATTTTAGTTAATAGAGTATACATAATCAGTAAAGATATTATAATAAATATAAACAACTAACTTAATTAATTTTTTTAATATTTTCAAATTAGTTAACTAGGTCTTATATTAAAAATTTACGTACTATTCCTCTGGTCCTTAATATAACACCCATTTAACTAATTTGATTAGATTAGAGAAATTAGGTAAGTTAGTTAATTGTAAGAAAAATGATACATTTTTCCTAAAACACCATAATCATATTTTTAATACTCCCTCTTTCCTTTTCTACTTGATTATGGTTGAAGGAGTATCCATAGGAATAATTTAGAGAAAATTGATAAATATGAGAAATAGGTCTTATATTTAGAACCAGAACTAACTTAAGAATTGGGTCCTATATTAAGAACCGGAGGAGTATATGAAACGTTGAAAACTTAAGATATACTTTATAAGATACACGTGGATCTTTTTCATTGGCTAACCTGAATCACATGACTTGTACCAGATTCAGTGTTTTTAATTTAAAACTTTAAACACATCAAGCGAGTTGCAATAACTACAGAGAAAGGGTAATTTGAGAGATACAAAGATATCTCCTGTTTATTTGCGGCTTTGAGAAGCTATATGATTTTTTTTTTTTTGTAATTTGAAATTTAATATATATATATATAGGAAGTTGCTATTATAATAATGGTAAAGAGAAAACAGTGTGTGTGATAACTCAAGGTATTTCTATTCATATAATATACTCCTTCGATCTTTAATATAAGACCCATTTAACTAATTTGATTAGATTAAGAAAGTTAGGTAAGTTAGTTAATTATAAGAAAAGTGACATATTTTTCCTAAAATATAATAATTATCTTTCTTAATACCCCCTCTCCCTTTACTACTTGATTATGGTTGAGGGAGTATCCATAGGGACAATTTAGAGAAAATTGATAAATATGAGAAATGAGTATTATATTTAGGACAAAAACCAACTCAACAATTAGTCCTATATTAAAGACGGGAGGAGGAGTATTAAATAAGAATAATTTCCTCCGTAGAATACCATTTATTCATAATCCTATTTTAATTTGAATTCGTAAAATATACTCGTATTGAATATATCAAACCTATTTATATTCAATTTGAATTATTTAGCTGTTAATAATCTTACATTAACAAAATATTTTCATTTTATTTCATATATACTTTCTTTGGAATAAATGAGTATATTCAAATCATTCAATTTTGGTCCCATTTAACCTTCGAAATATCTTTTAATATTTAACTATGATTAAATTAACAAAAGTCTAGAAATCTAGCTCACAAATTAAATTCATTTCAAACTTTAATATGGAAAGTATAAATTTTAAAATTATGAAGATCATAATGAAGGAGAATTTATTAGAATTAAAATATATTTTTACTTTCACGCCTATATAAATGTTAAAAACCCTAATGTTAAAAGTATGCAAATAAAAAATTTAGATATATAATCAGAAATTTAATTACTATTCCAAATCATGTTTTAATAATCAGTAAAAAAAATAGAAATGTTAGATTTTCAATTAAGCTAGTTAAGATATTTTAAAACATTCATCCTAATTTGTTAGTTTCAAAATCACTATAATATCAAATCGGAGATTTTGTTTCAACAAATTCAAAATCATAACTACCTACTTTTTTTTTTGGGTGCCCATGACAATATGAACCTACTCAATAAGATAACTCCAGCCAAAAAATTGTTAAAAAAAACTATTTTTTACAGATTAAAAATAAAATTAGTTAAATATAGAATTTAAGATCATGGCAGGATTTCTTAATTAGTCAAGGGGTTGAACGAGTTTAATGGGATTCAATTTATTTAGTTAAATTAGATTTTTTTTTATCTATGAACAAAAGATCCTATAAATGTGCCTGATTTATTCAACAGATAACCCCTCACTATAAAGATGAAGTAATTGATTTATTTATCATATAAAAACAGTAATTACATTATCACTTGGGTAACAATAAGTGTGTGTTAGAGATTAACTGTCCTTGCCCACAAAATAGAACTATAATATTAATGAAGTAAAAATGCATAGTAGGTCTTTGAATTTTATACAAAATTTCAATTGATTGCTTAGTTTCATAAAGTATTTTTTTTAATCTTCTACCAATTATTGCTATTTTAAAAAAATTAAATTTAATATGTTAGTATTTAAAAGTAAGTTAGGAGATTGAAAAGATTTCTTACAAAATTAAAAGACTAAAATAAAATTTTGTGTAGAATTAAGGAATTAGATATACATTTTTTTGTGTGCATATTACTTGATTGATATCTAAGCCAACATGAGAGCTAGTGAACCTTCCCCAAATATTAAATCAATTTGTGAGCCATGTAATGAAATACCCAGAACCGCATGTTTCCAATTTTGACCCGAAATTGTAAAACATGAGAATTTTATTTTTAAAAGAGTTACAGTATATATATATATATATATTAATTTTTGTACAGTTTAAAGTTGTTTTGATGTGGCAAGAGAATAAAGGGGAAAAAATAAAAGTTATCTGGAATAAGAAAAAGAGTACCCATTTCATACTCACAGTGTTCCAAACAAAAAAGAAAGACTTTAAATATTAATTATATATTTGTAAGCATCCTAACTGGTAGGTTTCTTACCTTCTTCCCTCCCCCTCTCTCCTTCCCTTCACTCTTCTTTCTCTCTCTAAAAGACTGACTCTGTTAATTCCGTCATTGACTATGCCCTGTGAGATGACTCACTTTGGATCGGTCAGCTTAGCTCCAAGAGATATTATTCTCTAATCCCATTTTCCCTGCTAGTTAAGTTGGAGAACTTAATTGGTAGAAGATAGACAGAACCCAGAAAGTGTTTGATATGATCATTCATGTCAAAGATTCTCAAGATTGTAGCAGAAATCCTGTGTATTTAATACAGGGTTTTAATCAGTCAATTTAGTAACATTCATAATCACCCTTGATTTTTGTTTTGGTTTTGGTTGTTGGGCAACATTCCCACCTGAGGAAAATACCAAAGCCGTTCACTTTCCAGCATTTAAATCATGAATTTATTGAATTACCACTGAGAGGGGTTTTCCTTCTTTCTCTTCAATTTGTTGCAATGGTCAGAAATGTGGTGGGGGGGTTTTTGGCAGGTTTTGGATTGCGGAATGGGATAAAACAGAGAAACTGATGCATGCGTTGGAATTTCTGCAACCTCCTGCAGAATCTAGCAAGAGGTGGATCTGAGTCTGAGGTGCTTTAGAACCTGTAGCATTTTGCGGCTATTGCACATTCCATTGTCAAGATTAGCTCTGGAATTTCTTCATTCTCAAAGAGTTGAAGACATTGCAACAAATCGCGGGTGAGATCCTCTATTGCGTTCTCATCTGTTAGGATATTCTATCAACTATTGGTGGTTGGTTCTTCAAAGCACACTTGTCAGCCTGGTACACTCATTCTTGAATATTTATCTTTTCCTTGCTTAGTTTGGAGTTCAAGTATCTTCTTGTTTGTTTTTGTGTGTATCAAAAGAAAATGTAGAAAGCATACCTGACATATTCGTGTTTATGTGTGTGTGTGTGTGTATTAATTGTTTATATATTCAATCTCCTTGAAAATATTTCATTCATTACTAACATTGTTTGGGTTCCTTTTTTTTTTGGAATGAAATTGTTTGGGTACTTCGGACTTGGCATTTTAACACCCCCAATTTTGGAGCATGTCATCTTACCTAGCTTGAAGGAGTAGAAACTCTATAAGCTACGTTGGATCCTTCATATGATCAAAAAGGAAAATTTATCTACGCTGTTATGTCATAATTTGCTTTTGATAGGGTTAGAGAATTTTTCCCCCCAGTGTCATTCCCTGCTGAATCCAATTTGTTGGAATAATTATAGGTATATATAAGTATATATACAACACCAAAATAGCTCAGGGTTATGGCATCCCACTTCCAATAAAATACACTCGTTACGAGTAGTTTGAGGGCAAATGGTACTTTTAGGTTAACTGTATTATGAGGCCTATCTCCTGTTTGTAACACCAAAGCCTTATCCCACTATTCAGTCTAAAAAAAAAAAAAGCCTTATCCCACTAGGTGGGTTTGGTTACATGGATTGCACGATGCCATTGAGCTCTGTCAAAGACTAAATGTTTGAATCAGTTGCTTGTGAATCACATGTATTAGGTATCTATAATATTGAATCAGTAGAACTGGCGTGGCAGGATAAAATTGTGCCCGTATTTTGCAGTGTCATTCTTTTGAAACCTTGTCTTATTTGAAAAACTTATCCATTAGTACAATGAGCTTTAGGGTCTACAGTTGTTTCTTAGCCTTTTAATTTTAACATGGTATCAAACTTACCATAAATACATCAAGCAATGGTGAAAGAAATATTAAATTGTCATATTGCCTGTAATTTCCAGAATTCCAATGATGAACTTGGGAGAAAAACTCTTTACACTGGAAGAGGAACAAGTTCAGATGAATGGTTCTTGGGTACCTGTCACCCCTGAGAAGCCAGTTCAAATAAGGCCTGATACAATATCGGCAGGTTGGCAGGAAAGCCAAATGGTAGGAGGGAATTTGAAAAAGTCAACTGTTTCTGGATGTGGCTACATGAAAGAGATGCTGCAGTATAATGTTCTACATCAAAATGTGCACCTAATAGGACATAATGAAGAGTACAATTATTTTGATGGGGTTCCTTCTGAGAGAGCCAGTGTCATCGATGACATTGATGTGGACTTTGAAGGCAATAGATTGAATACTTTGGAACTTCTCTTCATGAATAATGCACGTAACAATGGTTATGCTGACAGTAACTTGAGTGAAAATATAAGCATGGCAGTAAGAACGCCAGTGCTTCCAAAATTTCATCCTCACACAAGAAGCAACGGGAGAGATTTCAATGCAGATGGTTTCACCGTCAACGAAAACAAGAACTATGCAGATTCAGATACAGCGTACACAGATGCGAATCTTTTGGTCCCAAATAAAAATTCTGAATGCGATAGCAGCAGCTTATATGATTTTCTGAACAATGACCCTCACTGCTCATTCTCAAGCCTGCTGAATAGTAGCCTATCTGAGTCAGAGATACCCAATGGTAATTTAATCCCTTTTGTAATTTATTTTCTGCAATTTAAATTACAATAAAAATTACTGAGGGAAGAGAAATCCTTTCAGCTATTGGCGACATTGCATTTCTACTATTATTCTAGTTTAAAGGAATTTATGTGGTTGACACCGGGAAATATAGAAATTATCAATTTCATGTCATATCTATTCTGATAACGTTTTGAGCAAGATTTTCTCCTAAAGCATTGAGCATTTGACTATGAAGTAAATACCTGGGGAATTTTTATGATCCATAACATATAATTTTCAATTTTTATAAAAATATAAATTTGCATGAGTCCTTTTCATACCTGTTAATACAAGGTAGACATCATCTATATTTTAATTAAAATAGTTGAGATGTCTGCAGAAATGCAATCAAAGGAAAGAAGAAAGGATGTAGTCAGCATCAGTTGGCATTAATGGAAACCCAGAAAAACGTGTTCTTGTCTAAAACACTGATCAAAACTTTCTGTTTAAATTACCAAAAAAACATGGAAAGCCTTGAAATTATAAACACTTGCAAGGAATGTAATTGATTTTTTACTTCCCCATTTTTTTTCCAACGTAAATTGTAATTATATGAAACTGGTATCCCTCCCACGTCTTTAATAGTAAACTACAATGCAAAAATTTCATGAAGATTTCAATGTTCAAAAAACAAATTACTCCATTTCTTCTTGTTGCGCAAACAATGCCTTGCTGCGCCCATTATAATTTTTTTGCAACTGATTGATGAATAACTAAGACTATTTTCACAGGTGGTTTTTACATACCTTGCAGACCCAAGTATGATCAAAACTCTGCAGCCGTCACGGAAGCTGATGATGTCTTCAGTTTCACCAACTCCTTCCAATCAGTGCCACGAACAATGGATCAGTTTGATAAATCGACAGATGACCGGTTTATGAAGTATGTAACAGCTGAAAGTCAAATTCAGGTGACAGACAGGCTAGACAACTTGGTTGCATCCGCAGCAAATGATCACCAGGAATATTGCGATGGACTTCTACAGCATATTGTCGACACATCTGCAGCACTTTCTCAATCACAAAACAATAATGAGGGTTCTGAAAATGATCATCGTAGAGGAAATGGCCTAGATATTGATCTGAATAAGACGCCTGAGCAGAAACCACCTAAACGAAGAAAACATAGGCCGAAGGTAATTGTAGAAGGCAAGCCAAAAAGAACTCCAAATCCTGAAACTAGAAAGAAGAGAGAATCTAAGGAGAATCCAGCCCAAAAGAGGAAGTATGTACGAAAGAAGGTCCCAAAAGAAGGAGCAACACCACAAGATGATGTTATAGAGACTTTAGGTTCTGTGACAGCAACTGGAAAATCTTGCAGGAGAGCTCTAAATTTTGATTTAGAAGAGAATAGATGCAAAGACCAGAACAAAACAGTCGATCTGCAGGAGATCCAGAATAGAAATGGGTTGCTGACAGAGTTGCTCAGTGCATCAAACATATGTTATGATACAAACTCAGCTTTGCTTCTCAGCAAGCAGGATGGATTTACAGTTGAAAACCAGCAACCCAGAAGCACAGATGATGGTGCCTTTCTATTGCATCAAAAGCTAACTGACAGATACCTGCTGAAAGAGCAAGCGAATGTACCCTTGTCAGCAAATACAGAAATGAGGATTAAAAATTTGTCAGAGACTGAGCAAGGTCCAACTCAAGGCAATGCTGGATTATGCAAGGAAAGAAACAAGGGATTCTTGGAGCAATGTAGTCGCACAGATGGCACTGACAATGTTCTCTTACAATCAGAGACGTGCCTAGAGTTCCCTCAAAGGACCAAAATACCAGTATCCCAAAATATCCTTCATTTGGTGCCGAACATTTTGTCCAATTGCGTTGAAGGAAGCAGTTTGAAGAGAAAATACTGCCACGCCAATGAGAAGCAATATGTCTCTGCCACAAATCCACTTGATTCTTCCTTGCTACACCAAGAGATTTTCCAAGTGGATGAAAATTGTAATGGCACACCTCTGAATGAAAATGTATTGAAAACTCAGAAAAGGAGGAAAACTCAAAATAAAGTTGGTTCACAAAAAGTAAGAAGAAAAGGCAAAAATAAATCTCAAACACAATTGACTGATGAGACATCAAGCTGCTCTGCTGGTGATGGCCTTACTAGCTCAGGTGACGTAAATTTCATTAAGCAATGGGTTCTTTAGGAGGACTTTTTGAATACAAATAATTTTTAAGCAATGGATAGAGGACTTTTGCATACAAATATTTTTTTTTTCCTTTATTTGCAGATGCCCTACACAAGATATATCCCACACCAATTGATGAGATCATTTGTCGACTCAAAGATCTCAACCTTGGGGACAACAATATATCAAGAGTGGATGGACAAAGTGCAATCGTCCTGTATAATGGAGAAAATTCAGTTGTCCCATATGAGAGTTTCGACTTCACGAAAAAACGTAAACCGCGACCCAAAGTGGATCTTGACCCAGAAACAGAGAGAACCTGGAAACTATTGATGGACAAGGAAGGAAGTGAAGGCCTTGAAGGAAATGACAAGGAAAAGGAGAAGTGGTGGGAAGAGGAAAGAGGAGTTTTTCGTGGAAGAGTTGATTCCTTCATTGCACGAATGCATCTTGTTCAAGGTACAACACATCATATTTTGAACCCAAATATAAAATACTAAAAAAAAAAAAAATTAACAATTTGTTGATACTTTGTCTCCATAAATAGCCAACTTTTACTTTCTATTCTGTTGACAGACACTTTTTCTTTCTTTTTTTTTTCCTCCCTGTTTTTCCAATAACTAGTGTCAAATAAAGTTGAAAAGCACAATCTTTTAACTAAAGGCTCATAGTATAATCTCTATCAAGTTTGATATTAAACTTGTCATTACTATACCTTAAAATACATTAGAATTAATTATAAAGAAAGCTTATCTTTTCCTGAAAAGAAGAAACAAAATGTAAAGCATAAGGCTATGAAAAGAGAAGAACGTGGTATAACATGATCACTTGAATGTCAACGCAAAGAATGAAAAGGAACTAATACAAAGATATGAACATATGTGGACTGCATGCTATATTCTTTATTCCTGGACTGTTAAACAGCAATCCGTTATAGAAGAATTTGTTTCTACGTATTGAGGAACAGTTGATCTGCCCTGGCTCTCCAGAGCAATTTCTTGTAATACACATAACATTGTCACAATAATAAAGTCAGAATCTTGCTATTCTTGTGATCCTTTGGTGCATTTGGTTGGAGAGCAATGCTTAGACATTCATGGACTTCTTTGCTGAAAACACATGCTGGAACATTCTCAATAAAAGTTCTTCAATAACAGATAATGGCACTCAAATGAGATTAAGAGCAAAATAAGTCAACATTCTGTTATTATTTTTTATTTGTTCATTAATTGCCTTTCAAAATATATTCATCTATGAAACGTACCTTTGCAGGAGATAGACGCTTTTCACGGTGGAAGGGATCAGTAGTGGATTCAGTGATAGGAGTCTTCCTTACTCAGAATGTTTCAGATCATCTTTCAAGGTAAGTTAAATATCTAAGACTCACCAAAATGGTCCATGATAGCGAAGGATGAGGTGAAATTGGACAAAAAGCTTATGCTTTCTTTTGCTTCTTTTTTCAGCTCAGCCTTCATGTCTCTAGCAGCAAGGTTTCCTCTTAAGTCAGAAAGTGACAAGAGATCAAGCTGTATTGTTGGTACAGAAAAAGTGGTCGAAAATCCAGAAGTCTGCATAGTCAATCTAGATGACATCATGATATCATCCAACAAAAGATTAAGTCAGCCAACCTACCATCAAGGCTTTGTACCTCCCCATGATACAAGTGAGCACTTAAGAGACTGTGAGACATCAAGAATAAAAATGAGTATAGGAGGTCCATATAATCAGAGCTCAAATGATGAAATCATATTGTCACAAGATTCTCTTGATCACTCAATTGTTGAAGCCACCAGTGGGATAAGATCCTGTTCAGGTTCCAATTCAGAAGCAGAAGGCCCTACGACTGGGTGTGAACCCTGGAAGACTCAACTTTTAAATTCAACAAATTCTGTACAGGTAGGAAAGACTACTCTCTTCCAAGAATTTTACAGTAGTGTAAATGGAATGTCACTGTTTGAAGAGAGAACCAAAGATGGACGGGTTCTACCCGCAAAATATGTCGAACAAAACTCAAGATCAGATGAAATTGATGATCTCATTTCCCATTCAGCATTTAATCATCTGCTCAATTTTGGAAATTCACAAAAGCGAGTGTCTGAAGTTTATTCAACGGACTATGAGTTACATGACCCAGAGGCACTAGGGATGTTGAAAGCTTCTCAAATGAATGGTAAGGAGTCTTCTGGGCCAGAAACCATTTCCCTCATCAACAAGTCACAGGCTACTGACTATAGGAGTGTCAGCATCCAGGACATAGGAGGAAGTGTGGATAAATTGACTGAGAAGCAATATGGGCCAATTATGTCTCGGGAGTTGCCAACCATTAACCCGTATGAACCATTAAGTGTGCATGTTGTCCAACTGCAAGATAACTCCCCATCAGGATCTGATACAAATCGTCATCATCAACCTTTATCTAGCCATCATCAAGGTAAGAAAATTTTAAAAGCCAATGGCATGCCATTTATAGAATCAGTAAATACTACTCAGAAATTGAGTACGGCAAAGTATGATTCGGTGAAGAATTCTCCTAACATTTGTTATTACATGGAAGGTTCTCATGCTGAAAAAAGAATATCTGAGGTAAATGGACAAGCCTATTCGAATGATAGAATTGCTGAACCAAAGCCACAGGAGCAACTTTGTACTTCTGGCACCACGAATATAGAGAGCCCCAAGAAAGTTTCAAAATCGAGGAAAATAAAGCTTGAGACTGAGAAGATGAACAAAGTTAACTGGGATGATTTGAGAAAGCAAGCACAAGCAAATGGGGCAAAAAAAGAAAGGAGCAAAGAAACAATGGATTCACTGGACTACAAAGCACTGAGATGTGCCTCAGTTAAAGAAATCTCTGAAACTATTAAAGAAAGAGGAATGAACAATATGCTAGCAGAAAGAATGAAGGTATGTTCATTATGGGATGTTAATTGGAAGCCATTTTTTATTCCCCAGAGATATTTCTTGAAAAATCACGTTTATTATATTGCAGGAATTTTTGGACAGACTGGTTAGAGAACACGGAAGCATTGATTTGGAGTGGTTAAGAGATGTTCCTCCTGATAAAGCAAAGTATGCGAATTGCAAAGCCTTAATTTCTCTCATCAATAGAGTTTGTAACAGACAAAAAAATACCAGCAGCATATAGTATACATTAATAATGTCCTTTCTATTTGATTTCCATAAAAATCTTCTACTGCAGAGATTATCTGCTAAGCATTCGTGGATTGGGGCTGAAAAGCGTGGAGTGTGTACGGCTTCTAACGCTTCACCATCTTGCTTTCCCTGTAAGATTTACTTGAAATCCATTTGCCACTTCCCAGCTAATCCAAATCATCAGGAAGCTTTGTGACCGATTTGGTTACAATGACTCATCTCTGCAGGTTGACACAAATGTTGGAAGGATAGCAGTTAGACTTGGATGGGTCCCTCTTCAACCGCTTCCTGAATCACTTCAGTTACACCTCCTTGAATTGTAAGTCTATTTTGCTAATCAATAAGCATATGTATTTCCCAAATAAAAATTGCTAATTACTGTGCTTGTAGGTATCCAGTGTTGGAATCAATACAGAAGTATCTCTGGCCCAGATTGTGCAAGCTTGACCAGAAAACCTTGTAATAACATTACTCCCCATTTATCACAATTCATTCACGAGTCACGTGTTACAGGCACTACTACTTTTATAGCATAAGTAAATCAGTTACTGACGCATACATTACACAATGTAGGTATGAGCTGCACTACCAGATGATTACCTTTGGAAAGGTATGATCATAATTTATTTTCAGTACTTCATTCAGAAGAGAGGCAGAATCCATGTTGCAATAACTGTGTTTCATGGGCAGAGAAGATCTTTAAATTAACTCATGCTCCAAACATGCAGGTTTTCTGTACAAAGAGTAAACCGAATTGTAATGCATGTCCTATGCGTGCAGAATGCAGACACTTTGCAAGTGCTTTTGCAAGGTTAGCTCCTTAAAATATCTTGGTTTCATTATATACTCCCTCCGTCTTAAGGAGTTTACATGAATGGAAGCGTATAGAATACTGAAACTTTTTGGTTGCTTGAGAGTTGACATGCATTTTTTTAAGCCAGGGAAATGTGCAATTTCCACAGTTAAAATAAATAGCTATATGAGCTACAAGAAATCAGAGGTCAAAGAGATAAATGGACAAAAAACGTTATCGAGTTTTATTCTAGTTTGGTCATAACTATAAAGTAAGCCCATAAGCCTATGCTTTGCACAGAGTTTGGGACAAGTTGTACTATTCATGGCTTATGAATAACGTGGCCTCCTATACATTTTATATCGTGTATAGAATTATATTTGCAAGGAGAGATCTGAATATGCTCTGATCTCATTGATATGAGAATATAGCAATATATACAGCATGTACATTAGACAGAATCGCGCACACTCACTGGAAATCAGGGAAGAAAGAATAACATCCTAAGTCTGAATATTTACATAGAAATTGACATATAATTTCTAAGTAATACAGAGATATCCTCAATAAAAACAATATGTGCGGACTTCATTCAGCTGAACTAGTAAGCATTTTAACTTCTCTTAAACTTTTTATCTTTGTGTTGTAGAAAAAATATTTCATTAGGAAGAAACTAAACCCCCTCTCAACTCTACCCTCACTTTCTACCATAGATTCCCAAACTTGCTTCCCTTCAGTTTTTCTGTCTTTTTCCTAGCACATTGCATGTTTGTCAGTTCCTCTATCCCCCTTTTCTTTTCAATGTGGTATTCAGTTCTGCTTGCTTCACTTGCCAAATCACTAGCCCTATTTTTTTGATTTATTATTCCAGATTATTATATTTCTGCTGCAGCCAGTTCAATTAACTGGTTGCTAACCATGATGGTGCTTTCCATTACAGTGTCTTTGTTTTGGTACGTTAATGCGAGTAATATTAAATATAAGGGTAAGAGGGGAAAAGCAATGTAAAAAAAAATTATTATCCCAAAATGCATGATCAATTAAATCATCGACAGAACAACAATCTGCCAATTCCTGCCACTACCGGTCTAGTCTGGCCCAAAAGAGATCCAATAGGCCACATGTGAAATCTGAAGCATATAAAATTGGGAGTTTGGTGAGGAAAGTAAACGATAACACAATCTTCCCAAGCCATCCACGGATCTAAGAAGTTGATAGGACAGATAATTAAGAGGCTGAGAGGAAATGTGCAGGATGGGATGTCTACGTCCTACATCTACTAGTGTAGAATGCTTGTTATGGTACTTATAGATGATGGTTCTTGCCCTTGACCAAAAAAAAAAAAAAAGAAGCACTGTTAAGCGTGGATTCCTTACACTTCCTCAAGTCCTATCATTTAATTCTATTTCCTTAAGGTACGTTGCTCTAGCCACCATATATGAGCAGCTTCAATGATCTTTTTTCCCCTAAGGTGAAACTATACATTTGTTACAGTGCCCGGCTTGCATTGCCTGGACCAGAAGAGAAAGGAATGGTGAGTAATCCGGTTCCCATTGCAACTGAGAGAAATCCTACTGCCAATATGAATCCAACGGTACTGCGTCTCCCTCACAACAATGTGCTTGGAGAAGCAACGTCTGAAATTCGTATCTGTGAGCCAATCATTGAAGAACCGGAAACACCAGAAAAAGAGTGCCCAGACACACAGGGATTGGAAAGTGACATTGAGGACTCGTTCTATGAGGACCCTGATGAAATTCCAACCATCACGCTCAATACCGAAGAGTTTGCAATGAATATAAAAAACATATTGCAAGAGAACATGGAGCTTGTGGAGGGTGACTTGTCTAAGGCACTCGTTGCTTTAAATCCAGCTACATATTCTATTCCTACACCAAAACTGAAGAATGTGAGTCGGCTACGGACAGAACACTACGTGTAAGTATAGCTTGGTTTTATTTATAACAGAAAAAGTAATGCCAGAAATGGAAAGTTTAAAATATTTGTTAAAGACATCCTTCATCCCATGGAAAGGGTCCAACTTCAAAAAGTTCTCTCTGCACCTACGCCACACCTGAATCACCCATGGGAATGGGTAGGGCTCAGCTATTATTTATTAATAAAATAAGCATAACTTTCTTTATGACCTTGTATAAAGATGTCTAACATCTTCATTTTTCATGAATTAACAAATGCCCAAAAGCTATTTCAATGAGGAATGTCATAAATCGTAACACATGTACTGGTAGAAATTGCAATACTGTAGCTCTAGTCGTAAGGATACTAAGCATAAGCATTCGTTATCTGAATATTTGACAAGTCCCTTATTTTGTTTCTATGAAACTACAAATGATACAACTGGTCGATGCAGATATGAGCTTCCAGATTCTCATCCTCTCTTGGAAAAGGTCAATTCACTTTGTACTGCGAAATTGAGTAATAAGCTTCATCTCAGTTTTATACTGACTTGCTTGATAAAATTTACAGATGGATAAGCGGGAACCTGATGACCCAAGCCCATACCTTCTTGCAATTTGGACACCAGGTCAGCAAAAGATGTGTAAAATAATCTCTATTAGTGAACAGATGATGTTTGCTAGGCTTTCCCTTTCATTTGCATGTTATCTAGAAAACCTGCAATAGAGTATAAAAAATTTAACTTCCTTTATTTAAATTAAAAACCTTAAAATGACGAACTTCTTGTTTATAAGTGAAAAGAGTCGAGATTTCTTATGTAAGATCTTAGAAATATTATCAATGTACAAAAATATTAAAGAAAGCCAGAGAGGAATATATAAGTGAATCAAAGGTTGGATTATATTACTACTTCTGCAGCAAGTTAAGGACATAGATAACTTTGAATCATCAAAATCTACTTATTACCACTACTGCAACACTGAACATTAGGTGAAACTGCAAATTCAATTGAGCAACCGGAGAGAAGATGCAAATCCCAAGACTCCAACAGCCTATGCAATGACAAGACATGCTTTTCATGCAATAGCGTTAGAGAAGCTAATTTGCAAACAGTCAGAGGAACTCTCCTGGTAAGGCTAACTTGTGATGATAGGAAAATGACACTATTGTTTTCTTGCATTTCCACCTTAACTGATATTAAAATTGATCCATGTGCAGATACCTTGTAGAACAGCAACAAGAGGGAGCTTTCCACTAAATGGTACTTACTTTCAAGTTAATGAGGTAAGTGTAACATCAGTTTTGTCGCCGTTCAATCACCTCAACAGTAGTCTACTCTCATTTAAATTCATTACTCACCCGATACGTCTATAAACCTTTTATAAACATGCAGGTATTTGCAGACCATGCTTCGAGCATTCAACCCATTGATGTTCCCAGGGAATGGATATGGAATTTGCCGAGGAGGATTGTGTACTTTGGAACATCTGTATCAGCCATTTTCAAAGGTGCAAAATTTCTACTTGTTTGTCTGCTACATATCTGTTCCTATACTATATAAATCATTACTCACCAGAAATACCTGTGTCTCCTAGGTCTCTCGACTCAAGGGATTCAACAGTGCTTTTGGAGAGGTACGCAGATCTCCTTCAATTATCTGTGTTCTATGATCTGGTTGCCATGCTAGGCACATTGATGGTTGATAGAAGATGGAAATTTTCATCTCGTGCAAAAATAAGACTGTTTTCTGATTAATCCATGTAGCAAAACTGTAAAATTATGCTCAAGAGGAAGCCATTTCATTGATTCACTCATACTTCTAAGATGCTAGAGAGGGAAATACTTGATCTACTCAAATCCATATTTCCCTGACCCAACTTATTAAGCTTGTGCATTACACGTATGTTTGCATGTTCAGTATGCATGAGTATGCTTAAAATGCAACACAATAATGGTCTCTTTTAATTTATACCAATTGCACAAATGATGCTAGGTCAAGTTTAAAGAGGCCGAGATTACTTCACATACGATTCTATACAGCATATCTTTTACTAAGTTGATCCTGCATTTCAGGGTTTGTTTGTGTCAGAGGGTTTGACCAAGAAACGCGCGCACCTCGCCCTCTTAGGGCCAGATTGCATTTTCCAGCTAGTAGATTAAACAGAGGGGGAAAAGTGAAAACAAGAGATTAGTCGGACATGATGATGGGAATTTTACCAGTAAGTGTTAGCATTACTGACTGATTGACAGAAGCTTGTTGGCTAGCAGACTTCGCTCCTCATATATTAGTTTCTTGGGTTGAGGCTGACATGAAAGAATCCACCAAGCCAGCAAGAAAATAGAAGAAATTTTAATTTATGATTCAGATTCTCAAAGCCTGTGGGATTAAACTGTAAATCATCTTCATTGAAGCCCGAGACAGCAATTCTTTGAAAAATAGTTGACATTATACCCAAAGCAATTGTAGTTATCTCATTCAAAAGTAGAGAGTGATCATGTGATTTGTGATTGAAAACCCTAATGTTAATAGGTTCACATGTAATCCACTTCATTTTTTTTACGAGTTATCCACTCCATTCATGATTAAAAACCCTAATGTCATTTTTCACACACAAAAACAGCTCTCTCGACACATTTGTTATTTTATCATTCACTCTTATTTTGATACTTTTTATAAGAGCAAAAGTGTAGCAGAAAAAATATAGTAAATAATACATGTAGAGGAGAAACTCATGAGAATTCTTGAACCCACCAGCTCACGTAGACCTACTAGCTCAACATATGTGGTTAGTCAATGGTCAAACTTAATATGGATAACTGTTGGGACAATATTGTTACAATTTGCAAACTTTCGGATACTCAGCACTTCTAAGTAAAAACTTTCAAGGCAAATTTGCATCTTAATCCAAAAGAAAATGATGTAGATGACACATAGACCCGCCAACTCAGCATATTTGGTCAACTAATGGTCAAACTTAACTTAGATAACAGTCAAGATGATATTACTATGATTTGAAATTTTTCAGGACAACATTAAGCCAAAAAAACTTTTAGATATTCGGCGCTCCTAAATAAAAACTTTCGAAACAAATTTGCACCTTAATTAGAAAAGAAAGCATACCTGTGGCAATCAAGAATTGGGAAACTCTAGACAAGATGGAGAGAGATTTCATATTAGGGAGAGGCGGAGAGCAAAGAAAAACCGGGAAAAAAGAAGATTGGCGCAAGGAAGATAAAAGTGAGAGAAGAAAAAAAGTCTAATTTATGGGCCACTTTCTGCAACTCTCCGTCTGTGCTTAGTTTTTTCCAAAAATACTTTTAAAAAACATATTCCTATAAATTGAGATAAATCTTCTCTTACTTTTAAAATTATAATTTGATTTCTACTCAAACACTTGACATAGAGGAGTTTGGAAACCCTTAAAAATATTTTAAAAAAATATTAGCACACAAGTTGAGATAAAATTCTTCTCATATGTTTTCCAAAAACTAATCTAAACACAGTTTTTTGGCCACGTTGCAATTTAGGTTTTATAATCAATGATTGATCGATTGGTAGTTGATGACTGATCTGGGCATTGCACGGAATGTGGAAAAAATTAGCGAAAATTGCAAAAAAAGACTTTGGAATTGTAAAAACACATATAGGAATTCTTGACAACTTCACTTTGGGTTTTGACAATTTCATGACATATTATTATTGTCAAAACTCAAAGTGAAGTTGTCAAGGGTCTCTATCTGTATTTTTACAATTCTAAGGTCTTGTTTTTGTAATTTTTCCAAAAAATTATTCATAAATTGTGACTTTTTGGAATTTCTATAATACTACAGCATATATGAATATAAACCTCGAGTGTTAGCTTAGAAAGAACAAAAATACGTTAACCCTCGAAAATCATGTAAGAAAATAATGATTAGTCAGAATGAAACACTCTCAAATTCAAGTTTGTGTGAAGGGAGAGAGGGATTGAGGAATAAATATAATTGGCTTAAGATTTATTTCATTTAATTAAGGATAGTTTTGAAAAGATAAAATAATTTTTAAAATATCAATTGATTTATTTCTATATTAAAAATTTATGGAGCTCACTAAATTGATATATTAAAAATATCGATTAATTTTAAGTATCTTTTTATTTTTATTTTTACTTGTGTAAATCAATGGAGTGTTTTTATTGGAAAAATTTAAATCTCTTTATCAAAATAATTTAAACTCCCTACTATCTTTTATTTATAAATAAATTTTAAATGTATTTACCAATATGTCCTTATTTACTAAAATCTAAAGTATACATTTGGTCCTTTAACTTTAGGTAAGATTTCAGTTTGCTCCATTGACTTTAAAAAGTATACTTTTAGTCCTTTAATTCTAAAATTATTGTCTTAAATAATGATTTTTTTAACAATTATAGTTGTTTTAAAAATTAAACTCAATATTATAGCATTTAGTAATGTTTTATCACCATTTAAGTGCTCAATATCATTATTTTTTGTTAACGGTTTTATGGTTAAATAACTAAAAGTTTACTTTTTAAAGTTAAAGGACCAAAATAAAATCTTATATAAAGTTAAAGAACCAAAAGTATATTTTAATCTTTACTAAAAAAGTTTCCTTCCCTGCCAACCACAACACATGGCTAGAGTGATAGTTGTCGCTGGGGCCACCACTGCCAGTGATATTAAATACTCTTGTATTCCTATTTATAAGTCATTTTTCACATATTTTACATAGGTCAAGAAAAATTTTAAACTTCATTAACTATTATTTAAAAGTTAACAACTTTTTGACTTTATCTCTATTTAATATACATTATACCTCGTGTAAATAAAATCAATATAATAATAAATGAAGGGTAAAATTGTACATCCATATAAAAAATTTCTCTTAGTGCCCTATAAATAAGAATAAAAATTGTTTTCTTTCTCTGCCCTATAAATAGGACCATAAGAGCATTAGCAAAGTGGCTTGATGGAAATCGAATATAACCTTTTTCTAATTACCAAAAAAAAAAAACCATTATAACCCTCGCAATGAAAACCATAATACTATACTCCTGGGCTCCTATTTATAAATTTTAAATTTAGAGATAAGTGTAATCTATTTTATAAGTTTCAATTTATGATTTGTCTTAATATTTAATATATTTTTTTATTTTATCCTTAATTATTTATTTTCTCTCCTTTGTCATATTTTCCACACATTCTCTTTCATACTTTTTCTTATTTATTATAAGAACATATTTAAAAATAAAATTATATCTCTAACATATTTATTACTTTTAACTAATTTTAATTAACAATTTGTTATTCGTGAATTAATTATTTGAAACTTATAACAAATATCGGAGAAAGTACATATAAAGGAATAACAGAAAAAGACCGTGAAATTACAAAATTTCAGATCAGAAATTCTCGCAAACATGTATTATTATAAGTGAGTCAATTATCGTAACGAACCCAATTTGAAATTTCATAATTTTCATGATTTTTTTTATCTTTCCATATACAAACTTTATAATACAAATTTTGTATTATATGACAATGTTTGTTTCCAAATTCCAACACATCTAATAAGAGCTGTGAATTTTGTAGTGCGATTTTTTATGCAGTACCTTTCCTCTTTTATACTTTTATTTCCGTGGCATCAAATGTTGTTTTGTATTTCTATTAATTAGGGAAATAAAAAAGCAGGCAAGTCCGGTAATTGAATAGTCGTTATATCTCTAAAAAATTGTGATGCTTGATTATGAGTTAACGGCGATTCATGCACGTGAAAGTGAAACCATGAAATTGAGGAACTTGTGTGTTGACGTTCAATGTATCAGCCCCATACAAACGCAAAGCAATCAATTGTGCTTGTGCGTTCGTTTTTCCTCACAGGACCAGCCAACCCCACCAATTGCAAGGCATCCTTTGTGAGCCCCACACCCTCCAAACACACCGCCCATCTCTCTCCCAGAATCTCCCGTTCTCTGTACCCCCAATTCAGCAATAATGGCGTGCGTACTGTGAACTCTTGCTGCTCTTGTTAAGGTAATTTGGGCTCTCCTCTATCTGCCACCTGAATGATCAGATTCCAGAGGCTGTGACTTGTTCAACAGGTGCTACTGAATTGGTGCTTTTATTTTTTCTGTTTTTTTTTCCCCGAAAGATTCCCGAATCGTTGTCCGTGCAAAATGGAAATGAATGGTGCTTTACCTGATAGCAGCGATAATCGGTTTCAGAGAACTGCTCCCGTGAGGGAATCGTCGTCTCCGGTGGCCGTGGTAGGTGGCAGTTTGCGACCGATGAATGTTGTTGACGAGTTTGATTACTGGAAGGGACAGCCGTCTTTCAAGAGTTGGGCCAAGCAAACTGAGGAGAGTTACCAGTTGCAACAGGCTCTGGCGCTTCGTCTTTCATCGCAGGCTGCCTGTGCGGATGATCCCAATTTCCTGGACCTGGAATCCAGCTCTTCCTCCAAGTCGGCTGAGGCAGTGTCTCATCGATTCTGGGTATGCAATTTTTTCCCTGAAAAATGTGGATTTAATCTAAACTACTGAAATTGTTATCTTTTCATTTTCTTGCTGATATTAAGGAAGATTCTGGTGGCTATTCCCTTTTTATTTGTTTCTAAAAATCATGGTTGGAAGGTTCAATATTGGGACATGGGGGGAGGAAAGGGAGCTGCTTTATAATTGTCTGTGAATACTTCAAGTTATATTTTTAATTTTATTTATTTCAAATGAATGGATTCGTTGTGAAGATAAAATAAATAACAGAAAGTGATGAACTCATACTTATTCCTGGGTTTCAAAGGAAAATTTCATCTTGATTTGCTTACGTGTCAATCATATGGAATCTATTTGCAATTTTGCTTAGCATTTGACTGTTAGTTTGCTTTAGTAATGTCGTACCAATAATATAACATCAAGTAAATTTTCAACCGTTTGCCCAGACTTTTAAATTTTTTTTTTCCGTGGACCAGATCAAGTAAGTTCACTTGAGTAATATAATATAATCAAGTGAGTTCACTTGAGCAATATAATATAATATGCGCCTTAGCTGTGAACACCAAGTAAATTTGGAGCTGTTTGCTTGAAATTTAAATCCCTTCTCGTTTACTGAACCAGGTAAATGTTGCACATTCAATGATCTCGCATACACGGACAATTGCGGGTGCACACATTTACTCATGCACACACCCAAACATGTGGGGTTACTCTTGTTCTAAAAAATGTGATTTAAATGCCTTTTCCTTTTACATTGATCAGGTCAATGGTTGTTTGCAATACTCAGACAAAATTCCAGATGGATTTTATCTTATCCATGGGATGGATGCATATTCATGGACTATAAGCACTGATCTGCAGAATGTTGGCCTGATTCCGTCATTTGAATCACTGATGTCAGTTGAACCATGTGATGATTTGTCAGTTATAGTGGTTGCAATTGACAAATCAAGAGATCCTGGTTTGAGAGAACTGCTAAATGGCATAGTTAGTCTTTCTAATAGCCGGATTACTAGAAAGGATTTAATCGATCACCTTGCAAATATTGTTTGCAGTAGGTTGGGGTAAGTGCACCCATCTTTGATATTGAAAAGGTAAAAAAGCGTTGTCTTAGAATTCACTTTTTTGTTGACCTCTTCTTAACAAGCTTTTGTTGTTTTCGAAAGGGGCCAAACCTGGACCGAAGAAAACTTATCTTCGCGCTGGAAGGAGTGCACTCAAAGTCTAGAAGACATCCTTCATTCTGTCATTCTTCCAATTGGAAGCTTAACTGTTGGCTTATGTGTCCACCGAGCATTGCTCTTTAAGGTATTATTTTTGCTCTATCTATAATTTAATGCATTATATTTTATGAATTACAATAAATCTATCTAATGATTCAACCAACATTCACTCAACATAATGCTTTTGAGTTCAAGTGGTTTCGTTCAGTCCTTGCCACCATTCCCCAATTAAAATTAAATTTCAGCATAATTTTTCATTTGCTTGTATTTTATCCACTCTTATAGTAAGAAAATTATTAGAATTTTGTATAATGTCATTCTCAATGGAATAATTATCAATTTCCCAACCAAAAATATATCTTCCATTTAGTGTATCATTTTCCCCTTATAATTTGGCGTCTTGAGTACCTACTGTTAACGTTTAACATTGCAGGTATTAGCTGATTCAGTGAACCTCCCATGCCGAATTGTCAAGGGTTGCAAGTATTGTAAAAAGGATGTAGGTGCCTCGTGTTTAGTGCAAATCAGCCCTGACAGGTTTGTTGCATTGATTAATTAATTAAATTAACTGTAAATTTCAAATTATTATTTTGAATTAAATGCAATGCTATTTTAAGTGAGAAGTAATTAAAATGGGTAAAAATTGGTGTATTAGAATCTGTCTACTAATTTTGGTTAAAAAAAAAAAAAATCTGTCTTTTAAAATTAATTGTTTAGTGTTGGAAAGAATATAACAACATTGTGGCTAATGGCTATAAAATTATTGTGTGCATTACTTATTATGCTTTTCCTCATAACAAATTAATTTTTCCGTCTATTAAATATGAATATAATACACGCACAAATATACAAGCCTTCCCTCTATTTGGATTCAGTTTGGTTATATAAATGCTGTTCTGAAGAAATCAGAAGAAAACAGTATCGAATACACTTTTGCAGGGAGTATTTGATTGATATGGTTGGAAGACCAGGGGCTATGAGCCAGCCCGATTCTTCCCTGAATTCTGCATCTTCATTATTAATTGCTTCACCACTATGTCATCCGAAGTTCAAGCCAGTTGAAACTGCTGAATATTCAAAGACGTTGGCCCAATTGTATTTCATGGACTGTCAAGGCCTGCAACTTGTATTTGACTCCAAATCAGGTAATTTTCTCTGATTCTCTGTGTGCGCGCTGTTCATATGTCTTGCATTTGGTTTTTTTTTTTTTTTTTTGGGGGGGGGGGGTGATGAAGTAGCATGGTGGAACTGGGTACTCCAACTTGTCTATTTAGACTTTCTGGTTGGAATGGAAATGTGGAAGAGTTATGAGGGAAGTTTCTAAATTTGATGGCTATAGATAAATTACTAGGATATTCTAGTTTGTTCAGCTATGTGGACCTTCGGGTTTGGGCAAATATATCTGACTAACACGCCATATTTCATTCAAAATAAGCTTGCTTTTTGGGCTGACACAGAACATAGGCAAAAAAAAAAAGAAAAGAAAACATTAATACAATAAATGGGATGAACCAAAATCATATGGAAGAGCTGAATTGAGGAGGGTTGATGCTCCAAAAGGGGAGTTAAACATCAGGTATCAATGCTAATCACACAATAGCTGGTTGAGAAAAGACGGGGTTCTTGTCATAAAAATAGACTGGAATCAGCCTTGGATTCTCTGGTCAGATTTGAGACGTTTTAGAATATTTCAACTGGGCAGTGCATTAAGATTCATGCTTGTTAACACGTGGTAAATAATTTGCTTTAATGCAGTGGTTTTTCTTAGTTTCTTCTGTAGTGTCACAATATTAACATACGTCAGTGGAATGTTCATGTAGCGTTCTTATTTTTAATTCGCCCTATGGTTGTAAATTTGTTTTATTTTCTCACCGCAATAAAGACAATAATGAAATGATTTCCAGCTTTAAAAAAAAAAATGTTGATATGTCTACTAACTAGTGTGTTTTGTCTCCCATGATATTGTCACCTAATAAATCTTAACTTTTATTTATATTGTTAATGGTGAATGGCGAAATAATACTTTAAGTACTGATTTCCACCATGACAGGTGGTGCAGTTGATCATAGTGATGGAATTGATCGAAAGCCTACTGAAGCTTTTAATGCAAACTACGCAGGTGGGAAAATTCATCTAACTGGTTTGATAAGAATGAATCACCTCTATGTTAAAGAGCAGATGACCCAGTCATTGAAAATGATTAATGTTTAATGGACAAAATCATGTCCTAATTAATAAACTCAAGAATCAATGTACTCTGTCTGGAGGTTCTGGTGCTGTCATACTACGTTGGCATTGTATAGCGTCCATTTGATATGCCAAGCTAATTTCTTTTTACAGAAGAGTATGCGTCATTCAAAAAGGCAAACCAGTCAGTATTGGATAATCAGAGTCACAAGATTGATCTTGATGACGATGATCTGGAAATTTTATGGAGCGAACTTATTTTGAAAGATAAAATTGGAACAGGTATGTCATTTGACACCTCATGATTTTCATGCTGAAAAGTCTCCAGATGCTTCGCACATTTTTATATATCTCAATGAAATGTGTCACCAAAAAATGGACATAAGTTTGAATGGCAACTGCATTTCAGGTTCATTTGGAACTGTCCTTCGTGCAGATTGGCGTGGTTCTGTAAGGATTTATTTTCCGGAGCTTCTTATTGCTTTTTTTTTTTTAGCGATATTTTCCTCAACTTCTTGTTAAAGATGCATTATTTTGCATCATAAGCATGTTCATATTTACATGGTGGTTCTGGGGGACCATAAATGGTTCCTGACGATGATGTGCTGTTGTGCTAGAGAACCAAGTAATGGCCTTAGATTTTTTTTAAAAATAAAACAGTGAAAAAAACTACAGCAGCTATAGCCTAAATCAGAATCAAGCTGCTTATTACTACAGGTATCAAACACTATGACACAAGACAAGTTTAAAGTAGGATCATAGGTAGCTTGGTACCCAGGAACCACAGCAGTAGAGTGCCGGTCAGCATCCTTGATTTGCTGCCGAACTTCCCTATGCGAATGCATACTGACATCTTACGATTCAGAAGTTTCCCTGCATCAGCTGAGTCCGTTTCTAAGAGAACCCTTCTAAAACTGTGATCCCATGCCAACTTCAGCCCAAGCATATAATCCCACAGTTCAGCCGAGAGAGGGTTGCCTCACCTAAGTTGCAAATGAAGGCATGCATAAAGCTACTTTCATTTCTACAGATACCTCCACGTCTGGCTTGAGCATACAACTCAGAAATGACACCATTAATGTTAACTACTTAACTTTGAACCATCCCTCTTCAGGCAACCTCCAGCTGTTGTGGGTTCTATCCACGCTGGCAAAACCACCTCTAGCAAAGATACTATGATTCCCATCATGGATACTGCTAAGAGTACTTCTTACTTGTCATTCCTAAAAAAAATTCCCTCATCACTTCATCACCGGATTAGCCAACAAATAATAGCAAATCATGAATCCAACCTCGCCCCTCCAAAAAAAAATTTTTTGGCTTCTGGATAGGCAAACAATGAAGGTAGGAGGAATTCTCCTTGTGTAAGCCTGCGCTGCTGGTGAGTGGTGGCGTGGAGCATATTGGACCAATTTACTGAGCGTTGTAACCCTGTTAAGTTGACATGGAATTACCTGGACACCATAATTGAAGAGATATTTTGATGAACATTTCGTGATTGGGTTTTCTTTGTTCTCATTTTTATATTTTTAAGTGATAGAAACTGATTTAGGCCTATGATCGACGGCTTAAATTTTAAAATTTTATGTCTACTGATTGAGTGTTACAAGTCATACATTTCTGCTTCTGGCCTCTTGATTTGTGGTTTAACATTTTTCTCAGGTAGGAAACAATACAGATGAAGTAAAAAAAAAATGTTTACTAAAGTGTTGAAAAGTAGGACTACTTGCAAATATCGTTATTTTTTCCAAGGGTGTCATTATCTTTGTGTTGGTTGTGCTGCCACTATTCCATTCTTTTATTGCATTCTCCATTCTTTCTATTTTTTGGGAGGGGTCGGGGTATCTAATATTGTTACTTAATCCAGAACATGTAATTTTTAGGATGTTGCTGTGAAAATTCTCAAGGTTCAAGGTTTTGATGCAGAACGATATGAAGAATTTAGAAAGGAGGTATGCTTTCTAGTAGATTTAGTGCATATATCTTTATTATTCCGCTTGATTTCTCTTCAATATAACAGTTTGTTTCTTAGGTATCACTCATGAAACGTCTGCGGCATCCAAACATAGTTCTCTTCATGGGTGCAGTTTTTGAACAACCCAACTTGTCAATAGTGACAGAATATTTATCAAGGTGCAATGATTTTCTGGAATGATCATCTTTAAAAGTGCTACTCACCTTTGTGCTTACTTGAAGTTAAAAAGAGTGTCACCAAGTAAACAGTCTGTTTGGAATTTCAGAGGAAGCTTGTTTGAACTTCTGCGCATGCCAGATGCTAGATTAGTTCTCAGTGAGAAGCGTCGGTTGAGTATGGCTTATGATGTGGTATGCACTCATTGCGAAAAAGCTGCTAGTCTTGCTGTTTCCATGTCTTTTTTCCATCAAACGCAGAATAATACTTTTGCGTTGTTGTCTATGTTGTCCAGGCAAGCGGAATGAATTATCTTCATCAAATGAGACCTCCTATTGTTCATAGAGATCTTAAGTCTCCAAATCTTTTGGTGGACGATACTTACACGGTCAAGGTGACTTCAGAGAACTTTTGCTTTGCTTGCTACATGGCCTTTTTTCTTGGTTGGTTTTGGCCTTGACTTGGATTCAAACTCAGATCCTTTGGGCTTAGAGATGACTCCTATACCACTGATCTAAAGCTAAATGGTGCCTCATGCATTGCCTTTTTTGCCTTCCACTTGGATTCAAACTCAGATCCTACCGAGATGGAGATGACTTCAGTGTTAGGAATCTATACCTTATTGGAGCTTGCTGCATTATTTGATTTAATACCCAAGTGCTCAGAAACTAAAAGAATTTTTTTTTTTTTTGGGGGCAAACTAAACTAAGAACTTTTATTTGATATATTTTTGTGCTTTTTCCTCATTTTTAAGAGAGCCTGCTCTAAGTTGTGTCACATGTCTGTGAAATCATTTAAAAATTATATGGATGGTCACTGAACAAGAATGAAGGATCTAAAAGATTCCAAGTCTTTTTATAAATGTTGGGTTCAAAGGCCATGACCTTGTATTGATATACCATCAATGGGAACGTTTGATGCAACTTCACACTTTTCTTCGGTTTGGATTTTTTGCTTATTTGAGAAAATCCTTCAAGTTGATTTTTTAACCCTTGGAAACTTTTATTTATCAGTTGTTTGAGAAAATATTGAAACATGAATTTGCAATGAGGAAAGAGGGTATTTGAGTTCCAAGTCATTGAGGGGCTTGTGATTAGGGGTGGCAAATGGGTGGATGGGGGAGCAAATTGTAATGGGCAGGTCAAACTTGACGCATTGACCAGCCTAGAATCTAGTGAGAAACCTCTAAGATAATTCAAATCCACACGAATTCTGCAATTGCATCTGTCCATCCACTGACAGGTATATTTGGATGGATGTCATCTTGAAACTTCTTGTGCACAGGTGTCTTTGATCCGTGACATATATCGTGGGTGATATATGGATTATCTCATTAATGGATGTCATTTTGAAAATTTGGTTCTTCAAACTTTTATGGGAAGCAGACTCATCTGGAGGATCTTATTCCTATAAAATATCTATTCAATGCCTGCACCAGAATAAACGTGAGTTGAGAAAGTTGTTATAGCAGCTTCTTTAAGGACATTCTTTTGTTCAATTCATTTTGGGGCGCAAATGACACACTTCTTCCAAGGGGATAGGACACGAAAAATAGTAGAGAGTTCACCCTGTTCCTCTCTCTCTCTCTCTCTCTCTGTGTGCGCGTGTGCGGGGGGCCACTCCTTCCACCTTTAAGGATTCATTCTAAAATCAAAGATTGATCCATTACTGTGATATTGGAGGCTGAAAGGGTCAGCTGATGGCCAGTCAATTCACCATTTGCTAACATTGTCATTACCAAATTTTAACAATGGTTAGATTGTCATTTAGGATTCCTAGATGGAGATGCGTTGTCCCTTGTTTTTCGTAGATACATTAAGTATGTCCCTTGTGTTGCATAAAGTTTGAAAAATAAACTATAATGCTTATAATTTCAAATAGTGTGGCTTATTAGAATTCTTATATTATATATAGATATAGATAGATGCTAGACGTCTTGGAATGAGCCCTAAAATGCGTAGAGTCTTGTAGTCGTAGTTCATATTTTAAGAGGCGTGCTAGTATTTTAAACTGTTTGGTCTATTGCACCACCCATCCTTGCAACTCCTGCCTTTCTGCATCACCATTATGATTGACAGATGCTTAACTTTATCATTTCTGTGTCTTACATATATGGATATTAAAAAAATTATGGTGAGAATATTGGCAACAATTTATTTTAACATTATCTGTCAGGTATGTGATTTTGGTCTCTCACGTACCAAGGCAAACACATTTCTTTCATCTAAAACAGCCGCTGGGACGGTAAGTTCTATTTCATTCTTTTGGACATTTTCGTATTAATTACCTACTTGGCCATTTCACAATCTAAATACGTCTCTGTTATGAACATGAACAGCCTGAGTGGATGGCGCCAGAAGTGATTCGTGGTGAACCATCAAATGAAAAATGTGACATATTCAGCTTTGGTGTAATCCTGTGGGAACTAGTGACCCTGCAACAACCTTGGAGAAATTTAAATCCGTCTCAGGTTGTTTTCTTGTCAATGCGCTTTAGATTGTTAGCTAAGCTGTAAATACCATGGACAGAAGAAAATATAAGTGTTCTTATCTATTATGGATGTGGTCATTGCTTTGCTGTTCTTCTATATATATACAGAGTAAAGACTTTGTCTTTTTTTCTTCAAAAGCTTTGACAAAATATTGGATTGAGGTTTCAACATCCACTTGTTTGGCTTGCTATTCTCTTGACAAGCAGTCTTCCGTTACTACAGGTTGTTGCAGCCGTTGGTTTCATGGACAGAAGACTAGAGATGCCGACCTATGTGAATCCCAAAGTGGTTGCCTTGATTCAACTCTGCTGGGCCGTGTAAGTAGAATAAAAAATTAAAAAAAATTAAAAATAAAACAAAATAAATTTTGGAGCAACAGATGCTTGTACTGTGTGTATAAGGTATTTTGAGGAATATTCTGCTTCCAAAAGATGGATAGATAGATTAAGCAAATACTGGGAAAACATGGAAGTATGTCAAAATAGTGAATATCAATGAAAAGTGATTGGCTCTGCTTGCATGATTCTTGGCTTGTCTATCATTTAGATTGGCGTGCCTAAGAATTCTGTCCCTCCTTCTTTTGTAATTCCATGTTTAATTCACAGATTTACCTCTATCTCCATTATCATTCTGATGGCAACCTGGTTATGTTGTAGTGAACCCTCGAGCCGCCCCTCTTTCTCCTATATTATGAACTTTCTGCAGCAAATGATTGCCGATACTCAAGGGTGAACAAGTTCATGCTGATCTATGTCTCTGACTTTATACAGAAGTAGAACATCGTTTCAAAAGAAATATGTGTGTGTATGTGTACATATAAGATCATTTTTTGGTGATGTCATTTTGATGCTCCTGGTTACCTTTATTGCTCAGGTACTAAGTGGAGCTTTAGTTATTACCTTCAAGTTTTGTTCAGTGTAACAATACTCATTTTAGTTTAAAGTGCAAAATTATTTTTGAGGATAATGTACATTTAATGTAAGTGAATTGAGCTGTTAAACAGCACTTAATTCTTTGACTGACATGGATATTGCCTTTTACACACTCATAAGTATTCTCTCATCAGGTGTTCATCTCCATCTCTCTAATTGTTAATTTTTAGAAGGGTAAAAATTCATGAAATTGAAAGTATTGAAACTATACTATGAACCGTGAAATTCCTCAGACTTTTATATTTTATATTAATATCTATGATCATGATTTATGATTCCATTGGTCTTTGAAGCCTGTCATGTCCCAAGAGCCTCTTTGTTATGGTGTATCACTCTGTTCACATTTGGTTTGCGAGGAAAAACATATCGAAACTAAGCTATTAGTTTGAACAGTTAAGTTACAAGATGATCCCAGAGACAGAGCACGGATCACGTGCAGCCAAGCAAATGTTTGATGTATTTTCTTCTTTTGACATTATTCTGACTGGGACTACATCTTTGCACAGTTCCTCATGACATAGTCATTATCATATGAATGTGATGCGCAGGGATATTAAAAATTACCCCCTCATCTTATTTATAAGCCATTTTTAATATATTTTATATACATAAAAAAAATTTTAAATTTTATTAACTCTGAAAAGTAAAATTGCATATTCATATGAAATTTTTTTTCTCTATCCTATAAATAAAACTAATAAATTTTTTTCTTCTACCTTATAAATAGGACGAGAGAAACGATAGTTATTTTAGAATGTGTTACCTCTCATATGAACTGATATATCACTAAACTAAAAATTTAAAACAATTTAGTTTATTCTATACTTTATTATAAGCGACAAATTATTTTATATTATAGTTTATTATTATGTGTATGACAAAATACTTAAAAAAACGCAAATTTATTTATTGAGGGTCCCACAGTTTTCTTTATTATATGAAAATTAAATAAGAAAAGAAAAACTATGTGAAAACATAAACAATGAAATTAAACAACAATTAATAAAGCACATGCACACCAACCAATGCAATGGGAAAAATACGCCTCAACCAGTGGAAGCCAAATTTAACAAGAACCACTAATTTTTTAAAACGTCAACCATGAAAATCCAAACATGCAATATTGTCTGCTACTTTTAGATAATTTGTTAATCCTTTGTCCAAAGTACATGTACTGACTCATTTTAAACCGCATGTACACCAATGCTCCCAACTCTTAAAGAGGGACATTCAGATCCAGAACATCCATAAATAACACAATCTTGATTGAGGCATCAAAGTATTTGAACTTTACATGCTCCTGCCTCACATTTGACATCTGTCAATTCTTGCATCATCTTAAAAAGCGCCCCTTTATTTTTGGTTTTTTTTTGGGGGGAGCCTTTAGCTACGAGTCTAGCTTTGAACAACCTCATTTGCATTAAGCTTAATCATGAATGGCCATTTGCAGTTAATGGGTAAATTTTCTGGCGGTAAGGGCACGAGAGACCATGCTTCAATTCTTTGTGCAGTCGAAAATTCTTCCTCCACACAAGTTTCCCGGTGTGCTTGATGGAGAGGGCTACCAAAACTGATGCTGGTTCGTTGATGACAAGATCCAACTGTAAACGTGAGAAATGGGTCTGCAGATACCAGACTTGGCTAGAGAACATAGGATTAAGAAACATTTACGTTTGAGGATATTTAGACCAGAGATGCTTGAGGCTGAGTTGCTTCACCTGTGGCTAAGGCAAAAAGAACTTGAAGGTATTCTTGATTCCCATTTTTTGCAAGAATAGCTTCTGAACCTGCTACGCACACTTGCAGCTTGTAAACATTTATGGTTGCGAGGATTTGTTGCCTCCATAGAGGAAAGATTTCTATCATTAAGCTTGGTCAATATTGTGATTGAAGATTGCTCCTTCCTTCTAAGAAGTGAACTATAAGCAGATGTTGATCATTCTAGTGCGGTCCACTGAATGCTCCGTAAATGTGTACATAGGTACCTGGCTCCGTTGGTTATAACTTTCTAAGAGAACAGATGCCTAGCTCATAAATGTGATCAACAGATTTCATATCTCTTAACATCAGTCAATAATGTCACCTTAAATAAACACAAAGGTGGCGATGAAAAGTCAACCAGATAAGCAGTTGCAACATTTCAACAAAAAAGGAAAAAAAAAAACAGAGAGAAAAGAAAAAAGAGAGAAAAGAAAGAGTGTTAACGTATTGCATTATGTTACAAGTGAAAAATGGTACTACCATTAGTGTAGTGCAAATTGCCCTACAAAGTGTATACTATTATACTAAGGAGAGGAGATAGTATAAACCCAGCTTCTTCATTACATTCCTTCGGAAATTAAGAGAAAGAAGTAATTTCACGGAATTAGTATGAACTAAAATGAGAGATGCTCCATCCATTCACATGTCATCCCTCATTCTCAATTTAAGAGCCATTTATACAGGTTCACATCTTAGTTCTCAAAGAAAGAAAAATGAATCAAGAATGAAGAGAACTATGCACAAGTTGATTCTACAGTACATCGGAACTTGAAATGTCATTCAAACCAATCGGTAACTCATCCAGGGAAGATTTACAATATAGGAGAATCGATTACCATGATCTAAAGAAGGGTGATGAGAATGAAAATAAGAAGAGCGGCAATGAAAGAATACTTGAGCGCGGCAAGAAGAATGGCCAATGAGATAAAAAAGAGTTGCCAGAGAACTTGAACACTTGCCCATGTAAGCAGACCCGTCAAACAAAGGGCCAACACATTGTCAGGATCAGGATCAAGGAGACTCCGCCAGTTGAAATTGAAGAAAGGTCGTCGATCTTCACCCGAATTATCCTTGTCCCCATTTGAAGAAACGCCGTCTTGTTCTGGTTTGTCTTCTTCCTTCAGTTCGTTCGGCCCATTATTGTTCTCTGCGAATACCACAAGTGTAGTGGGTTGTCTGGGGATAAAAGGTTGGGTTTTCAGAAAAGAAGAAGAGAAGGGGGAGAAGTAAGAACGGCAAGAAGGGCTTTGCGTTGAAGCTCGAAAAAATGGAGTAGAGATTGAGGGCTGGTAGAGAGAAGTGAACCCTAGCATGGCTTCCTCATCCAAATGAGGATTGGGTGAGAAAATCAAAAGGTTTTGATTAAAAAACCGGTTTTGGATCGGCGTTTCCCATTGCGAGGGAAAGAAAAAATAGTACTATATGCGTCCGACCACAGTGGGAGTCGAACCCACGACCTTTTGATCCGAAGTCAAACGCGCTAATCCACTGCGCTATGCGGTCTTCGGTGACTTTACTGCCAAAACTTTATATCTACTAACTCCACATATTTCCAATATGTGTAATATAATTGTGAAGACTGTATTATACTATGTGTTCCCACAATAAGTGACATAAAAGGTGTGATAAAATGTACAAGAAGCTACATTTTTCATAGATGATCCCATGCATAGGAAAAGGAACAGTCAAATTGGAATCTTAATTTCTCAAGAGGAACGAGAAGCACAAGTCTTCACAAAAGTCATAAGACCACCGGCGCCTGGACTTTATTGCGATTTGCGAGGCTCAACTTTTGGGCCTCACTCGGTATTTTCATTAAAAAAAAAAACAGTTTACTTTTATAAATAAAAGTTATGAATAATATCAACCAGATTGTCTCTAGTGTAATAATTAGTTCTTTATAACATGACCAATCAAAATTTAAATTTTTACTAAGAAAAGTTTTTACATTTAGTGTTGAACATGATATCACACGATATTATTACCTCATATTCTAATTATAAGACTTTATTTATAGTTTATAAATAAGGTTTTATAATCAGAATCAGAAGTAGTATTATGTGTCATGAAACATTATTTTGCAGTTCCTTTTGCTTTCTTTCTTTCTTTTTATTATTATTTATTTTTTCAGGGATTGGGTTATGGGTGAATAATCTTGCAACAGCTCGTTTGGAAACCTCGTTAACACAAAGGCGGGCGGCCACACGTTGCGGAGTTTGTGACTTGGTTGGTTAGGATCAGGCGAGCTCACGTGCATTTAATTAATATGGTTCCGCCACAGCCAAAATACGGCTATAAGCCGGCATTAACCCACCTTGGGAAAATAAATATATATTTTGGCTAAAAGGATAACACTCCCATTACTTAAATTTTCAATATTAGAATTGTTTAACTAATTTCAATATACTACATCCAGTCCAGTCTTTGATATAAGATCTTATTTGATTTTTATTTTGATCCTAAATATAAGACCTTAATTCACTTTGTTTCTCATATTTATTTATTTTTTTCAAGATAGTCCTTCTAATAATAATAATTCTAGCCAATAAACTTGACTAGTAAGGATATTTTAAGAAAGACAGCACATATTTATTACAAAAAAATTAACTTAATTTATTTTCTTAATCTACTCGTCAATTAGCTCTTATGTTTAGGACCAGAGATTGTAATAAATAAGTCAAACAAATTTTTTCTTATAACAAATATGATATGGAAGTTATACCTATACAATATTAGATTATATATTATTTTTCATAAATTATGTAAATTATTTTAAGAGAAAATATAAATATGAAAGATTACTGAGATATCATATTTGAGATAAAATTTAATCCCTAACTAGTTAATATAGTAAAAACTAGAGAGACTACTATTCATGAAATAAAATTTTATATTTGGATTCTTTTTGGAAGTAAGAAAAAAATCATCCTGGGGGAATTATTTTACCTTGGATGGTATTAATTAATGATTGTGAAAAAATCGTGGGCTATGGACCTAAGCCTGAGAATTGTTAAAGCATGTAGGCTGCAGCCCATTGCAAGGATTGGTCCCATGTACATGGCCAATTTGGGTTCTCATGGATGAATAAGCAAAATATTAATAATATTTTTTTTAAAATTTTTGTCGGCAAATAATATGTCAAATTCTTTTGAAGAAAATAGCAGTGTTCAAGTGCAAATAGAAATACCTAAATGGACTATGGGCCCTTTCCATGTGTACTTTGGTCCTTCTGTTCCCATGTCGATTAGATTGCAATCATTCATGTTACTGCAGAACTTGTTGCATTTCCTTTCATTCACCTTGATTCCTCCTCTTTGCTCTTCTGGTGTTTTAATATCATTAAAGTCACCTGCTAGGAGCCATGGGCCATTAATATTTCTTGACATGGATTTTAAAGACTCCCATAGTAATTGTCTTTCAGCTGCTCGTGGGCTTGCATAAATTGCTGTGAAGAGCCACTTGCTTCCTCTTAGGCCGTTGACCTCACAGTGTAGAAATTGGTGATGTTTCTCTAGGGCTTTTAGCTTAATATTTTCATCATCCCATAGTATCCATATTCCCCCTGACATGCCATTTGCCTCTACTATTTCCTGATATTTGAAACCCATTCTCTTAATAGCTTTTTGAGCATTTATTCCACTGCATCTAGTTTCTACTAAGACTACCAATGAAGGTTTTAATCTCTTTTTCATATCTTTCATAGCATGACCGAAAGCATTTCCGGCTGCTCCTCTAACATTCCAGACTATTATCATTAAAGATTGAGAAGGAATAGACGAGCACCTAGCAACTTGCACCGCTGGTTGACTCTTCCATGTGGATTCGTGTGTCTCTTTGTTGACTCTCAAGTCCTTCTACTTGGTGCTGTAGTGTTTTCTCCACTTCTGAGAGGCCCATTAGTTCCCTGGCGTCCGTTGGATCCGGTGGTTTATCTTCCTCCAACTCCATGTTCAGGTCGCCTTTGCCTGGGAAGCCCCCCAAAGAGCTATCCATGATAGAATCTTCAATTTGTGGCCCATGTACTGCTTCAGGACTAGTTTGGGTTTCTTTTGACTGGCCCACTGTGGATACTTTTTGTCGCTCAACTGGAGGCCTGACTCTTCCTTCCTTGGGCCCATGTGCTTTGTGTTGTAGTTGGTTCAAATTGGCATCTCTTTCTGTCCCTTTATCAGTCCTATTTATTATCCCTGTCTGTTCTCCGCCTTGTTTCCTTCTCTCACCGTCACTTTTCTGGCGCTGGGAGGTTCCTCTTTCTTTTAGGCCACCATCAATATTCAGGCTTACACTAGCTTTTTCGGTTGGTTTTTTCACCCTTGGTACTTGTTTCTTCTTCTCATCTGCTTTTTTCTGCTCTTTTATATTGTCCTCCTTTCTACCACCTTTGTTCATAGTAGCAGCACTAGTTATTTCTTGTAGAGACTGCTTGTCAATGTCATCTGTCATCTCCCCTGTTTCCATATCTTCCTCCGCCTCCAAAAGTGAGTATTTCGATGTCTCTCCTATTCTCATTTTTGTTCTGACACCTTTTACCTGCTGTTCTCCTACTTTTCTTTCCTTAGTCAGATTTCTTTTCCCTTTTCTCGAGTTCTGCACCACCATCCACCCACCGTAAACGGTTGCCGGAGCTTCGTCACTATTCATGTTTCTTCGACTAATCTCTCCCTCCTGTCCGTTCTGTCTTTCATTTTGGTTAGCTACTGAGTTTTCTGGTGGATTTTTCAGGGGGCAGTGTTCGGATGAATGACCAAATTTGCCGCAGATAAAACATATCTGTTGAAGGCCTTCATATTCAATTCTTAATTCGTTCCCATCTACTGAGTATGAGGGTAGCAGCGGCATATTAAGATCTACCTCTACACACATACGTGCATACATTGTTCTTGCTCGAGTGAGAGTCATCTCGTCAACTTTAATTGCTGTTCCGATTTTGTTGCCCAAGTTATAGAAAAATTTCCTGTCATAATAATCCCCTGGTAAGCCTGGTAGCCTCACCCAGACGGCAACTTTCTGTATTTTTTCGTTCCAGACCTTGAAATTGCTTTTCCATGTTTGGACGGTTAGGTAGTGGTCCTGTATGAGCCATGGTCCCCCTTCTAGTGCCAGGTAATAGTCATCTAATGCTTGAAAGGTTGCGGTCATATACCCATTTCCGATGACATTGAGCTCCACCTTTCCTGCCTTCCCCCACATTAGTTGTACTTTCCTCTGTAGTTGCATGAATCCTGTGGAGCCACCTAATAGTTTAATGATCAGAGTATTCTCCCATTTTTTCGCCAATCTTCTTCTTTCTTCTTCAGAAAATTCTATCTGTGGTCCTTTCGCCGTGTCAACTATATTGACCCCTTTCCTTAGCTCCTCATCGTCATAGAACAGGAGATTTCCGTCCCACGGGTCCTCTTGGTCTGTTGCTCTGTTTTTCTGTTCCTCTATCTTGCTTCTTGGTTTCAGGATATCTCTATATGAGATAGTGTTTTTCTTTGATGGTGAACTCATTTCATCGTCCCCCACCATCCATGGTTCCTCTCTTGGCTGCAGAGATATTTCCCCAGAGAAACTTCCTTCAGTTCTTAGTTGTTTTCCTCTTGCTTCCTCCACAGCTTCCATAGTCATTGTCAGTGCTTTCCCATTTTCTGCTATCTTATCGTTGCTCGGTTGGTGTTGTAACCCATCCATCGGTGCCTCCGTTCCATCCAAATGACGGTCCGGGGGTTGATTCCGTGGTGGCGTCTCGGAAGTGGTCATGGTAAACTCAGCGCCCCTCTCTCGTTCTAAACTTCACTCTCTCTCTCTCAAACTTCGCTCTCTCTCTCTCATCGTTCTGTGAATTTTTCTCAGGTTCTTTACAAAAAACTTGACAGGGCTTTATGTAACACTGCCTGGAGAAACAGATTTCATGAAGCAACTGTCAAAGTAGGAACCAGAGTTCAATCTGACCACCACCCACTCTTGATCAGACTCACACCAGTGACTCATAATCAACGAGCTCGACCTTTTAGATTTGAAGCAGCTTGGCTCAATCATGAAAATTTCAAGCCAATGCTCAGGAATAAATGGACAGGAGATCTAAACATCAGAGCTGAATTGGGAGTTTTAAAAGAACATTTGGAAGAATGGAACACAGATGTGTTTGGACACATTGCTCAAAAGAAAAGGAGGCTCTTGAATCGTCTAGGAGGTATACAAAAAGCAATGCAGGAGAAGCCTAGCAATCACCTGGAAAAACTTGAAGAAAGTCTCAGAGAAGAATTAAAGGCAGTTTTAGAACAAGAAGAAATTTTTTGGTTCCAAAAAGCAAGAACCAAGTGGCTAATAGATGGAGATCGTAACACTTCCTATTACCACACAAAGACTACAATTAGAAGAAGAAGAAACAGAGTCACCATGCTAAGAGATACAAATAGTAATTGGGTAGAGGGCAAAAGAGAAGTGGGGGAATTAATCAACCAATTTTTCAGATCACTTTTTACTGAGGATGAAGATCAAAGAAAATGGGTGCAGACAAGACATTCCTGGCCTAAAGTCAAGAAAGGGGACTGGGAACTAATCGGGCAGACTATCACATCCGAAGAAATAAAGAAAGCTATGTTTTCAATAGGGGGTTTCAAAGCCCCAGGAGAGGATGGATTTCCAGCCATATTCTTCCAGAGAAACTGGGAAATTGTGGGAAACAGTGTTTGTGAAGCGGTGAAGGAAATGTGGAAGGAAAAAGAAAATCTGAAGGCAGTAAACAATACACTGATTACCCTCATACCAAAAGTTGATACTCCGGAAAGAGTAAATCAGTTAAGGCCGATTTCTCTCTGTAATGTAATTTACAAATGTGTCTCCAAAATTATTGTTCAAAGACTAAAAGGCATCATGGCCAATATTGTTTCCCCTTTCCAAGTGAGTTTTGTCCCTGGGAGAAATATCCATGACAACATCATCATTGTCAATGAGATGATACATTCAATGAGAAAGAAAAGAGGAAAGAAAGGCTACATGGCTATCAAAGTAGATCTTGAGAAGGCTTATGATAGAATCAGTTGGAACTTCATGGAAAAAGTGCTAGAAGAACTCAATTGCCCAAAGGAGATGATCGATAGAATTTTGGGTTGTATTCATACAAATTCTACACAGATTCTTTGGCATGGTGAGCGATTGGAGGAGATCAAGCCTACTAGAGGATTAAGACAGGGCGATCCCATTTCCCCTTATCTTTTTGTGCTCGGCATGGAAAAACTCACGCACCTTATTCTTGATAGAGTGAAAGAGAGAAAATGGAGAGGTTTGAGAGCTGGTCGAAAAGGGCCAAAAATATCACATATGATGTTTGCTGACGACCTTGTTCTTTTTGCAGAGGCAAGCACTGATCAAATTAAAGAAATTTTACATGTTTTGCAGGTGTTTGGAGAGATGTCAGGTCACCAAGTGAGCCAAGAAAAAACACACATATTCTTCTCACCCAATGTGAGTCACATAGAACAAAGACGGATCTGCCAAGTTAGTAAATTCAAAGCTGTAGAGGACCTGGGACGCTATCTTGGAGCTCAAATATCTAGCCCAAGGAAGAGGAGGGAGAAATACACTCATATAGTTGAGAGAGTCAGGAAGAGGTTGAGTGGTTGGGAGGCAGCGAGCCTCTCTCTTGCGGGTAGAATAACACTGATCAAATCAGTAACTAGCCCCATGACTCTGTACCCCATGCAACACGACCGGTTACCAAGAGGAATCACAGAGGAGGTTGAGAAAATGCAAAGAAAATTCCTTTGGGGTGACACAGAGGAGAAAAGGAGAAGGCATGTAGTAGCATGGGAGAAGCTTTGCAGACCCAAGCATGAAGGAGGAATTGGACTCAAATCCTGCAAGGCATGAACGACGCGTTTCTTCTTAAACTTCTATGGAGAATGCACGACAATCCAAATGACTTATGGGTGCAAGTTCTATTCGGAAAGTATGGCAGATCCAGGATCGAGAGAAGAGAGATGGAGGCTAAGGCAGGAGATTCCAAACTATGGAAAGAAATTGTTAAGATGCAAGAACAGTTTCATGTAAATCTAGAGCGTGAAGTTAGAAATGGTGCAAGCACACTGTTTTGGAAAGATAGGTGGCTACCAAATGAAGACTGTCTTATCAAGTATATCCCAGAAGAAGTGGAAATCAATGAGCAACTCCTAGTGAAAGATATGATTGATGAATATGGAGAGTGGAAGATAACAAGTTTTGAACATTTACTTCCTGAGCATATAATCCTGAAAATATGCTCAACCTCCGTTATAGCAGATATGGAGGATAAAGATACGCTCAGATGGAAACTGAATGAACGAGGAAGCTTCACCACTGCTAGTACCTATGCATGGCTTCAAAATACGCCACGGGCACACTCAAAGAATATATGGGACTGTGTTTGGAAACTAAAAGTTCCTGAACGAATAAGGGTCTTCTGTTGGATGATGATCCACCAATGCCTACCTACAAAGAAGCTCACAAGCAAATGGGATGGAAGTCCAGGCTTCTGTGAATTTTGTCAAGCAAGGATAGAGGATCAACTTCACGTGCTAAGAGACTGTCCATCAACTAGATTAGTTTGGCAAAAACTACTCTCAAGAGATAGACAAAGAACTTTCTTCAGCATGAGCTGGACTGAATGGATCATTCAGAACATGACAAGTAGAGGAATGATAAGACAAGAGGAGAAATGGGCAGAGCTATTTGCCACAAGTTGCTGGCATCTGTGGAAATGGCGAAACCAACAAACTCACGATCCGACATTTGA